GCTGTATTTCCCCAGCACAGGCTGCAGCGCTTCCCGAATACGCTTGGTGGACTTGGCTGTGATGCGGATGGTCTTGTTGAGGGAGGAGATTTCCAGACTGCAGAGAGAAAGACAACACTGGCGGTCCGGGTACTGTGTGGAAGTTGGGATGGATGATGTGGAACAGATATACAAAGGCATCAGTCCTGAAAATGACACTCACTCAAAACTTATCCTGTTCTCCAACTTCACCTCCTGGTCTGCCAGCACACAGCACTCCTGGTCCAACACCAGTGCTTTCTGCAAGAGCCAAAGTATCATGATGCTCCCGGCACGGACACATCCATGCCACACCAGCCTCGCTGGCAGGAGCCCCCCTGCCCCGTACCTGCTCGTTCCCCACCAGATAGACCTTGATGTCGGAGGGGCTGAAGCCGCGCTTCTCGCATATCCCAGCCAGCATGTCGCGGATGGAGAGCCCGGGCCGCACGGAGGCCAGTGAGGCTGTGCCATCAGGCAGGTAGACGCAGCAGTACTTCATGGGCTTGGCCTCAGCCTCGCTGCCCCCCAGGCTCTTGCGGTGGCCCTGTGGGACAGGAGAGCCACCATCAGCGTGGGCAGTGGTGGTGTGGGGCTGGCACAGCCAGGACTCACCTCTGCCCAAGGGCTGGGAGCTGTGCTGGCCGAGGAGAGAAAGCCCAGGTCCAGGCTGGCAGAGGAGTTCAGGGAGCCCTGGGACTCCCTCCATAGCACAGCGCTTCCGCCACCTTCTCCCCCATCTAGGACAGACAGACAGACATGGTGGGGATGGCACGAGGACAGGGACACCCAGAGCTGCCCTGCATGTCTCCTACCTGCCCAGGAGGGCTCCCGTCGCTCGCCCTTGCGGAAGGAACGGCGAGGGCTGCGGTTAGCACCACTGCCAGCTGTCTCCACGCCCAGTGGTAGAGACTTCCCCAGCTTCAGCTTTGACTTCTGGGGAAAAGAGAGGAGGAAGCTCAGCATGGAGGCTGCCCTGTCCCCCACTGTCTCCATGCCTCAGGCTTATGACTGGCCCCGGATGGGTCCGTGTTCCCTTGACACCCCACGCACCTTGCTGAGGTCTGGGGGGGGGCTGCTGCTGCGGGAGTGGGGCCGCAGGTCTGGCAGGGGCTGCCCCTGGCTCTCAGCTGTCAGGCAGGCTTGGTAGAGTGGGGACTTGACAAAACGTGTGTAGCTGTCAAACTTCATCAGATTAAAGATCTGAGGGGGGAAAAGGTGCTTGCTCAGCATCCCAGCCTGGGGGTCTGGCTCCTGCCTCACTGCTGGAGTGGGACTGGGAGTTTTTGTCTCACTTGGAGCTGCTGGAGGCGAAACATATCTGGTGAGGGAGTTGCCAGCATGTCCTCCCCGATCCAGGCCTGCCGGTCGATGTTGACGGGGCTCACCGAGTGGCTGGAGAGGAACTCATCGTAGATCCGCCGCGCCTCCTGCGCCAGCTAGGAACAGGACTCAGGATGGGGCCATGGGCCCTTGAGGTCTGGGGGCTGAGTCCCACCCAAGGCAGGACAGGCGCTGGCCTCACACCCAGTACGTCTCGATGGAGGAGTTACCTTGCCCTGGCCCCTCCTGTCCTATTCCTTGTATCTCTTTTCCCATTCCTGCTCCTGGCAGCAACACCCTCCATCCTTTTGCTGGCCCAGAGACGGGGAAGCACAGCCTGCCCTGCGCCCACTTTCTTGTCCCAACAAGAAAAACCCCATCCTCCCTACCAGCAGTCATACAAGCACCCAGGAACACAGTGACATGATTGCCACCTCCACATATCAGACCACATCCTCTGCATGGGGTCAATACCTGCTGCATGTTGCTGGCTGGGATCTGCTGGAAGCGCTCACATGCCTGCCAGAAGTAGACATTTTCAGCACTAAACTCCTTCTTGAGGAACTCCTGTGGGGCAGAGAGATGCTGGCCTGACTGCACCCAGGGCATGGGGTGCTTGAGGCCAGGACTGCAGCTGTAGTCAGCACAGAGTGTGGGCTGCAGCACTCACAGTGAAGTAGGTGACAGCCACGCGGTCCTGCAGCAGTGTCTCAAAGGACTCGGCCCAGCTGACAACAGAGCTGTGTGTATTGCTGCTGAGGGACTGCACTGCAGGCAGGCTGTTCACGCTGTGGTTGCTGCCCCTGGCTCTGGAGGCATTTAATTCTGAACGAGAGAGAAAAGGTCAGGTCTGAGTCCCTGGGCACCGTGGCCACCCTGTGCATGGGCATTCAGTTGGAGTTGAGTCAGCCCCCAAAGAACTGCTATCTGCAGCCCCCATTATCTGCCCCAAGTCTATCTGCCCCATCCTGGCTGCTCCAGCCCTGCGGGATGTGGGATGGGAGCACGAGGAGCTGGGCCGCTGCTCCATCACATCAACGTCACCGTTGGACTGAGCACAGCGATGGATGGCACAAGCTGACACCTTCCGGCGTGACAACACTCCCTCCCAGGGCTGTCACCTCACTGCTGTGACTCATCTCCTGGGAAACAAAGCTGGCGTGTGGGGAAGGCACCCAGTGGGGAGGGGAAGCAGGATGGCAGGAGTAAATGGCGGGCATGTTTCATGGAGAGAGCACGGAGGATGGCTGGAGGTACTCCCCAGGAACCATGCCTCTGCACTGTGCTTCAATTTACCTTCTCCATCCCTCCAGCCCTGACCACTGTGGGGGACACAGATCAGCCACCCAGGTCCCTAATCCTGCAGGAACCCCTGGTGAGCACAGCTGTTGGACTGGGAGAACCGGCAGCAGGAGGACAGGGCATGCAGGCAGGAGCAGCAGCATCCCGGCTGCTCCCCAGCAGGGAGGAGGCAGCTTGCTGCTCTGCCGGGCCCTGCTGTTCTCGATCAGTCCAAATCAAGGCATGACTTGGCAAACAGGCAGCATCCCCTCAGAGCACTGGGTTCAGCACGTCCCAGCCAGTGCTACAGCTCCTAGCACCCAGGGGCCCAGCGGAGGAGAGAGGGATGGGTGGGACTGCGGGGCTCCCCCTCCCCTGAAGATGCCACCAACCTCATCCCAGCACAGCAAACAGCCTTACCTCCATCTGACACAGCCGGGCCCTGCAGGGTGGAAAGAGAGGTGAGGGAGGGCAAACAGCTAGAGATACAGCCCCAGTGTTATCTACCTACAGCTGGAGCTGTTGCCCCATGGCGGGGGCAGGACGTGGGACTCCCCCAGCACAGCAAGCAGGGCTGTGGGTCTGCAGAAAGCACACTGCTGTTCTCCCACCCGCGTGCCTCTGCCGCCTTGGGTTTAGCAATTGGGAAAGGGCGAATGCTGTCAGATGTGACTCTGCTGCTACGCAGGGAGAAGCAGCCTCCCCAACACAGGAAGAGCAGGGGAGGAAGGAGAACCACAGCCCCAGGCAGGCACGGTGCCCGCTGCCTCCTGCTTTGGGGCCCGGGGCTACTGGAAATTCAGTGCCGAGGGGCTGGAGTCGATCCGTGCCCGAGCTGCTGGCCCAGGGCATCCTGCAGCATCCCCCAGGCCGCCTCGGGCAGCTCCCGCAGGGACGTGGCACCCAGGAGGATGGGCAGGGCCTCACGCTCATCCCCAGCACAGGGGTGGGCAAAGCGCTGCACCGCTTGGCGTGATTCCCCGGGCCGGTGCCCGCTGCCAGCCCCACACCCACGGAGCCGCCTTGTGACCCCCAGCCCCAAAAGCCCCACAGCATCCCCCTGCCCGGCCCTGCCGCAGCGCCGCACCTCCCTCTCCCGCACCCACAACCCTTCCGCACCCATCCCGCTGCCCACCCCCCGTCGCCCACCCCGCACACCCCATCCCCGCACGCCCCAGGCTCGCACCACACCCCAGCCCCACCCTCCCTCTCCCGCATCTCCCCGAGCTCGGTACCCAGCCGGACCCCGCTCACCATCCGCCCGTTGAGGACCGGCAGCAGCTTGCCCTTGCCCTGCATGCCTGGCACGGCCCGGCCCAGCCCGCCGGGCTACCCGCCGCCCCGCAGCATCGCGGCCCGGCCCGGCCCTCCCGGCACCCCCGGCCCCGCCGGCACTGCCGCTTTCGGCTGCCACAGGAAGTGTCGCCATGGGAACCGAGACCGCAGCCGGGGGGAGCGGAGCCGCCCTCCCTCCCTCCGCCACCGCCGGTAGCGGCTGCCCCGGGTCCGCTCAGCGCCGGGCGCCGGGAGAGCGGCGCTGCCCCGGGGCGGCCGCGCGGCGTTGGGGTGCCGCGTCCCGGCGGTTCTGCCCCGAGCGCGGGGCTCCGGCAACCGCAGGGAAAGGGTGTTTTAGGGAGGGTGTTTCGAGACGGGCCTGGAAATGATAGTGAGTGCCGTACGGACGGCAGGGCGCCGCGGTCACTGCGGGGCGGATAACGGGATGCGAGCGGGGCCGGTGAGCGCGGCGCCGAGCCGGGCGGAGGTCCGCGCGTGGCGATGGCATCGGGGCATCGCAGCTCCCCCTCCCTTTGTCGCCGCGCTGTTTGCCTTGGCTCTGCGCTGCGAGTTATAAATAAAAACTGCTCACCCAGAGTGCGTGAGTCACCGTCCTCCCTGCAGGGATAACTGCGTCGAAACACGAGCCGGGCGTGTGAGAAGCGAGCGCGTGGCTCGGCTAACCTCATCCCGTTGGCTTTGGGATGAGCACTGGCCCCGAGTGGGGCAGCGTGGGCTGCGGGGATCCCAGTGCCTTGGATGGGCCCCGTGCGGTCTGATCTGGTTTGGGGCAGGTGATGGGGCTGGGGGCTTTAATGTCCCTTCCAACACAGGCCATTTTATGACTCCATGATTCTGTGAACATCCCTGTCCTGCTCCACAGCCCGCATCTCCCTCAGACTGATGTGGCTCGGAGCAGCCATGTCCCAGCGTCACCTCCTGTCATGCTCTAGGTTGAAGGGAAAGGAATCCCGGCCACACTTTGCCCCTGCACAGCCAGCTCTCAGCTGCCCTCTTTTGTGTCTGACCCTGCCCATGGCATCCCTTGCTGGTGACTCCAACACAGTGCTTGTGGTGCCCAGGAACTGCATCCTCCTGCTGTGCTAGCATCCCCATGAGTTGGGGAGAGGGATGCTCTGTGCCCCCCATTTTAGCCCTGGGGTCAGGAGCAGGAAGAGGTAGCGGATGGGTGACAGCTGGCTGGGGGATTTACTGAGGGCATTACTTAATGCTGTGAGTAAATGGAGAAACAGTAGCTAATTCAGGAGGCCATAATCCTCTTCCTCCCCCAGGGACAGAGAGTGTGCCAGTCACGCAGATGCCAGTGCCCCAGGGATGAGCCCCCAGCCTCTCCCTGGGTGTGCTGTGAGCTGCAGCCATTCCCAGACCGTGGGTGATGTGCAAGAGGTGGGGGGGAGGATCTGGCTACATCCCTCCTGCCCCGAGCAGCTGCACTGGCATCAGTGCCCAGCTGGCTGCGCAGCACCAGGGCTTGTCCCTCAGCCTGCCAGGAGCTGCCTGGGCTCCCAGGGAAGGGGACAGACTGGGCGGATCTTCGGTGGGGCCACCCTGAACCTGTGCACCTTGGAACAAAGTCCCAGACTTTGCTCAGGCCACAGACACAGGGCACCCATGGACGACAGGGCACCCAGCTCCCCACTGCAAAATGAGGGTGCTCTGCAGCAACCCAGCACCCTGCAGGACTCTCCCAGCTCCCTGCATCCTCGGGGGCTGCTCTCTGTCATCCAGAGCCTGAGCAGTTCCCCAGGGCAGGAGCTCCGCATCGTGCTGCTGGGGCTGGACAATGCAGGCAAGACCACGCTGCTGAAGCGCCTGGCATCTGAGGAGGTCAGCACCATCACTCCCACCCAGGTACAGGCTGCTCTGAAGCACGCGCAGTGGGAGGGCAATGGGTCCTGTCTTTCTTCCCCTGGTGTGATGCCAGAGTTTGCTTCCCCTCACAGGGGTTCAACGTCAAGAGCGTCCACTCGCATGGCTTCAAGCTGAACATCTGGGACATCGGCGGGCAGCGCGCCGTCCGACCTTACTGGAGGAAGTACCTGAGCAGCACTGACCTGCTGGTGAGCCAGGGGCCATGCCCTAGCAGAGCCCTGCAGCAAGCAGAGGGCTGTGTGATGTGTGAGGAGGGGCTGCCTGCTGTTCCTTTTGTCCCCCTGGCAGATTTATGTCATCGACAGTGCAGACCAGAAGCGCTTTGAGGAGACAGGGCAGGTATGAACGGCCTGGGCAAGGGGTGGTGGTCAGGTCCTGGGCACAGAAGTGGGGAACAAGGCTGTTTTCTGTGGGCTTTCCTCATGGGGGTTGAGTTGTTCCCTAAGCTGTGTGGGAAGGGCTCATGCCCAGGGCCTCAGCACGCAGATCTGTCCCACCCCACAGCAGACCTGTCCCAAGCAGCTCTGCCCACCCTACCCTAGTTGTGGATGATGCCCCAGGGACATCTGACACAGGGTGCCTGTCTCTGATACGGCCACGTAAGAAAGCCATTTGCTCAGGTAGTGAACTGGGAGATGTAAAAGCTGGAAAGCAAAGCAAAGAATGGAAGGTGAGACAGTGTCAGCTGAGGCCATGCTGACGCCAGATTCTGCCAGGAACACAGGCGTGGGCACCAGACAGTGTGGGCTGTTAGCAGCTGCCCTTTGCCCAAGGTGCTCTGGGTGCCAGGAGTGTTCTCTTGGGCTGTGCTGAGTGCAGCTCCAGTTCTCCTCAGGGCAGATGTAGCTTCAAGGGTTCCCATCTCCCCCTTGGGTTGTAGAGACCTCATGGCAAATTGAGACTCACCAGCACCTGAGAGAGGAACACAGCTCTGTGAGAGCAGCAGCATTCTTGGGAAGGGGTTCTCTCTTGGCAGGAGCTGGCGGAGCTCACTGAGGAGGAATCTCTGATGGGGGTCCCACTGCTCGTATTTGCCAACAAGCAGGACCTGGTGACAGCAGCACCTGCAGCTGAGATCGCAGAAGGGCTGAGCCTCCACACCTACCGGGACCGAGAATGGCAGATCCAGGCCTGCTCAGCCCTATCTGGAGAAGGCGTGCAGGTAAAGAGCGAGCGGCTGCCAGCACTGCGGGTGTGTAGCAGCAGGCTGTGCTCATACCTCTCTTCCCCTCAGGATGGAATGAACTGGATTTCCAAGCAGATCATGAGCAGGAAGAAGTGAGAGCTGCAAAGTGACAGAGCTGCAGGTCACTAAGCCACAGCCAACCTCTCCTTCAGTCCCCACATACCCCGAAGGCCTGACCAGGCCCTGAGCCTTCAACTCGTGCTCTGAGGGGTTTCCACACGGTTGTTCACCACTCATCCTCTCTTCTCTTCTCATCTTCTGGGCCTCCCCCGCGGAGAGAAGCAGGGCCCACGGGCGCCGCTGCACCAGCAGGCACAGCCCGTACGCAGCGCGGGACGTGGCAGTGAGGATGTGGATCAGCGATGAGACGCAGCGCGCTAACGCGATGCGGGGACACTGTGCTGGGCCGGCAGCACGGGCACTCAATAAAGCAGCCGCTGAGCTCCGCACTGACCCCGCCGCCCTTCTGTGCTGCGCTCCTCTGTCCTCCGCGCGGCACCGCACACGACACCCGCCGCCATCTTGTGAGGCGTTACCGTGGCAACGGGCTGCCGGAGGGCCGGGCGGGTCACGTGCCCCGCGGGGAGCACGAGGCGGAGCGGAGCGGGCTGCAGCTCCCAACACACCTCGCGCTCGGGAGGCGCTATGCTGCCTCTCCCGGGTTCGGACCGCCGCACGGCGGAAGTTGCGGCCTCGCTGGTGCCGCCCCCACCCCTCCCATAGGCGGGCGGGAGTGACGTCACCCCGCGGGGGCGGGGGCGCAGCGGTCTGGAGGCCCGTGATTGGCAGAGAGGGCCGCCGCTGCGGAGTGGGCGCGGCGCGGCGGAAGGCGGAAACGGAGGATGGCGGCAGGCGCGCAGCTGGCGGCCGTCGCGCTGTTGCTGCTGGCGGGGGTCGGCCCACAGCTGGCCCCCGCCGAGCTTACGGATGGCAACAGCGAGCACCTGAAGCGCGAGCACTCGCTGATGAAGCCGTACCAGGGTGAGCGCGGGGCGCGGCGGGTGGGGGCCGGGGCCTGGCCGGGGCTGTGCGTTGAACCGCGCTCTCTGCACTTGTCGCAGGTGCAGGCTCCGCCGCGATGCCGCTGTGGGACTTCCAGGGCAGCACCATGGTTACCAGCCAGTACGTCCGTCTGACGCCTGATGAACGCAGCCGGGAGGGCTCCATCTGGAACCGCGTGGTGAGCCCCGGGGTGGGCGGCTGGCGGACCTTTCCCCGTGCCGGGCTGACACCGAGTCTGTTCCGCAGCCCTGCTTTCTGAAGGACTGGGAGCTGCACGTCCACTTCAAGATCCACGGCGCTGGCAAGAAGAATCTGCACGGGGATGGCCTGGCCCTGTGGTACACACAGGAGCGCCTCGTGCCAGGTAGGTGGCAGCCCAGAACGGCGGCCGTATCCTGGGCTGCATGAAAGGAAGTGTGGTCAGTAGGGTGAGAGAGGTGGTCCTGCCCTTCTGCTCTGTGCAGGTGAGACCTCACCTGGAGTACTGCGTCCAGGTTTGGAGCCCTCAGCACAGGAGAGATGTGGTCCTGTCAGAGTGCCACTGGAGGAGGACCACAAAATTGATCCAGGGGATGGAATGCCTCCCCTGTGAGGACAGTCTGGGAAAGCTGGGGCTGTTCAGCCTGGAGAAAAGAAGGCTCTGGGGAGACCTGACAGCAGCCCTTCAGTATCTAAGGGGGGTCATAAGAAAGAAAAGGACAGTCTCTTTAACAGGGTCTGTTGTGTTAGGACAAGGAGAAATAGTTTCAGACTGAAAGAGGGGAGATTGAGAGTGGATATAAGAAAAAATAAAGCGTTTTACACAAAGCATGGTGAGGCATTGGCACAGCTTGCCCAGAGAGGTGATGTGTGCCCTGTCCCTGCAGACATGAGAGGGGTTGGAGTAGGTAACTTTTAAGGGTCCTTTCCAACTCAAACAATTCTATGACTCTGGGTGTTCAGCATGAGCTCCATGCACAACCTGGGTTCAGCAGTGCTTATACATGTCCTGGGACAGCCTTAGAGCTAGCTCACTGCAGAGCAGGTTTTGAGCTCCCTTTGGCTACCCCAGCTTAGAGAGGAGTATTCTGCTCTGTCCATCCTGACCTGTGAGCCTGCAGCAATGCTCCAGATGCGCAGTGCTTCTCAGTGGCCATTGTATTTTTCCCCTGGGGGCTGTGTGCAGTCTGCATGAGCAGGCCTGGTGCTGTGTCTGCTGTTCTAGTGCAGATTCTGCCTCATTGGGCTATGCTTTGAGGTGAGGTAGGGCTGTGCTGCTTGTGCCAGCTGGAAGGAATCTCAGTGTCAAAGACCTACAAACCAGGGCTTCAGGATGAAGGTACAGAACCGAGCCATCCGTTTACTGTGTTCTGCCCTGTTCCAGGTCCTGTTTTTGGCAGCAGGGACAATTTTCATGGGCTGGCTATTTTCCTTGATACGTATCCCAATGATGAAGCAACAGAGGTGAGTAGTTCAGGGAGCTCACTCAGTGCTCAGGAGGCTGCTTCCTTGTGGCTTTGTGCTGCAAGTGCTTCATACCTGGACTGAGGAAAACTTTCTTTATGCAAGAACAGATTACTGTTCTTCCTGTCCTGTGAGCTGGTAAAGAGCAGAGGATGTATGTGCATTAATGGGGACAGGAAGGTGCTTGCTCCATGTCATGGTGTTGACTGCTCCTTTGCTCCCAGGGCCTTTCCCCTGCTTCTAATAAGACAGTAGACCCTGAATGTGAAATCTATCTGAAAATATATTAATCCCAGGTGTCATTTCCTGGACTTCTCTGACCGTCTCACATTGTTTCTGGCCTTATTCTCCATCTCCAGCCTGTTTTTCTAAAAGAGAAACTCCTGTGCTGGCTTTCTTCCCCAGAATTCCCCACAGCGGTTGTGATCCTTCTGTCCCGCTTCATGTTTGTGGATCTCATTATGACATGGTTAGACAATGTGACAGCGTTAGTGAGGTCTGTTGCCCCAACCACTTGGTGACACTTCAGTCGTAAATACCTGGGAAGTGACCCTATCTGCTTGTCTTGATGTTCAGTGAGTTGCTAATTCTTGCCTCCAGCTGCTCCTTACAGCACACATCACCTACTGACTACAAAATCTTGGATGTGGCTTTGCTGCTGATGTGCGGTTGCTGCCCAGTTTCTGTGCTGTCTGTAGGCTTCTGTCTCGCTCCAATTAATGTCTTACAGCTTCTCACTGGGTCTTGTGCATTCTCTGCAAGTTACTCTGGTGGGCATTGTCCCACTGTCATGAGCCTCCGCTGCTGTGTGAGCCCATGAGGGGTCTTAATGCAGATGATCAGATAAGGCAACTCTGCTTTAGGCAGAACAAGCTCTCGCTCATTTTAAGGCCAGCTTTACGTAGGAAAGGAGCTTTGATTTAATAGTTCAGCTCTCTGTACTCACTTTGTTGCCATGCAGTTGCCTTGCTGTTGTTCTGGTCTCACTGAGGTTTCTGAGCAGACAAGGGAAGTTGGCTCTCGGGTCTGCAGCTGAGAGGCTGCTTCAGACTGAAGGCACTAACGCTCTCCCTGCAGCGTGTGTTCCCCTACATCTCTGCCATGGTGAACAACGGCTCCCTGACTTACGACCACAGTAAGGATGGGCGCTGGACGGAGCTGGCAGGATGCACTGCTGAGATTCGGAACCAGAATCATGACACTTTCCTGGCAGTTCGGTACTCCCGAGGTCGCCTGACGGTGAGATGTGCAGGGAGCCTTGTTCCTTCTGCAGGGCACCTCGTGCACCGACAGCAGGGTGGTACTGGTGGGTGGGTGGTGCTGTGGCAGTGTGTGGTTTGCCACGTTGGATCTCCTGCTCCTCTGGTTCCGAAAGAAGTGCTGGCTGGGCAGAGGGGCAGCCAGTGTTCTTGGTGTGACTCCCCTGGTCCTGCAGGTGATGACAGATGTAGAAGACAAGAACGAGTGGAAGAACTGCATTGACATTGCAGGGGTACAGCTGCCCACTGGCTACTTTTTTGGTGCTTCTGCAGGCACTGGAGACTTATCTGGTGAGTGGGCTTTGCTTGTAGGATTATGTGCTGCTTGGAGCTTGGAGTATAATGCTATGGATGCGGTAGATGGTGGCTTCTTGTTCATGGGGCTTTTGAAACTGTATTGAATCGGGACACGTGGCCTGAGAAAGGAGGCACCTAAAAGCATCTCAAATTACACCTGGGATGTGAGGGTTGCTTGAGAGGGAAGGAAACCTGCACCTGGCAGAGCACAGAGCTGGGGATGCCAGCGTGGGCATTTCTCAAGGCTTCTGACAGTCCTCAGTGCTGACGGTTGCTTCCTAGACAATCATGACATTATTTCAATGAAGCTGTTCCAGCTCATGGTGGAGCATCCCCTGGAAGATGACACTGTTGACTGGACAAAGATTGAGCCTAGCGTCAGCCTCCTTAAATCTCCCAAAGGTGAGTGTCTGGGCTTCCCAAACCTTCAGTGAAGGACTTGGATCTTGGGGCTGGGCACCTAAAAATCTGGCAAAATCTGCCACAGTGTGCCTGCCAAGAGGCAGGTGCCTGTGTTATGCATTGGCGTTCAGTGGTTGCTGCCAGCAGCAGCAGAAGAGTGCATTTTGTGGGGAAAACGTCCATCTATCACTTGAGCGCTTGATCTCCCTGTTCTTAGCAGTGCTCCAGCATTGGTTTTTCCAGCAGCTTCCTGCTCAGCAGCAGGGCAGAGTTAGAGCTGAGATTCCCCCACTCTGAGGCACTGGTGGAGGTGAGGCTTGGTGAGTCTCTTGCTTCTCCTTGCAGACAATGTGGACGACCCGACGGGGAATTTCCGCAGCGGGCCCCTGACAGGCTGGAAGGTGTTCCTGCTCCTGCTGTGCGCGCTGCTGGGCATCATTGTGTGTGCTGTGGTGGGAGCTGTGGTCTTCCAGAAACGCCAGGAGCGGAACAAGCGTTTTTACTGATGGAAGAACCCGGGCTGCGGTGCCCGACCCGTTCCTTTTCTATGGGGAGCTGTACAAACTGTGGTTTCTAAAAGCTGTTTCCGAGAAATACAAGAAGTATTTTCTTAACTGTCCCTGTGGCTGTAATCCTGCTGGACGCTTGCTGTCTAGCAGGCTGGACTTGGGGGGGGGGGGGGAATGTTTTTAATTAGAGCCCACACCTGCTGCAGAGGCACT